GGATTATAACTTTTTTTTTTTTTTTAATGGTTGAACTGGATGGACTTTTGTCTTTTTTCAGCCAGACTAACTATGTAACTTTCCTATCTATTTAGTAATACAGCAGTTTACAGATTAAAAAGAGTCAATGTTGAACTGGGAGTGTGAGTTTTAATAGTAACAAAGATTTTCTCTTTTCTAGGTCATTGCAGTAGTCATGGATCTTTTCACAGATGTTGACCTCCTATGTGATCTCATAGAAGCAGCAAGCAAAAGAAGAGTCCCCGTTTACCTCTTGCTTGATGAAAAAAACCTGAAGTACTTTATAGAAACGTTTCAGAAGTTGGGATTTGACAAAATTCATCTACCTGTAAGTTTCAACTGCATATAATATTGTAAATCTCTATTTGAAGCATGTCTTTTAAAGAGTTTGGCTGTACAGCCATGTTTCCAGAGTTTAGTCGTGAGGCATCACTGAAGAAGGTGAGGTTTACCTGTTCTTTCTTATTCTTTGAATAGAGATGCATTTTTCTCTTTCAGAGCTGCCTCGCCTGGAAGCTGCCCTGTACTGGCCAAACACACTGAATTGCATGTAGCTTTCCTTAAAGTTTGTAAATAAAGAGGACCTGTCGCTAACCCAGGCAATTCACACTAATATGCAGAAGATGGCTTTAGCGAAAAATAATCCGTAGATTGACAATATAGGCCTCTGAAATTCTAAGAACTTTTTTTTTTTTCATTAGTTAGCTTTCTCCTTCTGCCACTTCTTGTTGGTGATTGCTAGTCTAACTTGCCAATTGGGAGGCTCAGGAGGTGGTAGAGGGAGGGGCCAAGGTAGACATGTGCATGAAAAGTCAAAATTTGTCATACGCACTGTGCCCATCTAATTAGAAGTTTATTTTAAAAATCATCAAAGTTAACCGCTTCCCCTCCGCCCTATAGCAGAAATACTGCTGTAGGGGTGCTGATAGAACAGAGCCTTGGGGGGGGGGGGGGGAGCTGCACATGCTCAGTCTGCATATTGTGCATGGTGTGTATTGCTAGAGAGTTTTTTTTTTTTCTTCGGAGAGTGCATGTGATCAGCACATGGACAATCAGCACTGTCCAGACTGAAGGTCGGTGGTCCTGCAGTCTCATAGGACAATCGGGGCAGGATGAAAACTCCTCCTACAAGCTTTAACCAGTGTTCTGCTGAACACTGATAGAAAACTGCTCTAACTGCTGATGAGAAAAGGTATTTAGCAGTTTATAGTTACTAAAATAATTGCATTTCCATGTTGTGTGTACTGTGGGAGACCAGATATAGTGAATGCAGGGTCCGGGGTTTAGTAACACTTTAACTATGGTTTTTAAATGTGAGAAAAACAGACATAGTTGTTCTAATTGTATTTTCAACCCCACATCATTGGAACACTGGAAGCATGCTGACTTGTTTAATTATTTAACCACCAACAAAAAAAATTGGTTGTCCAATGCAATACAAAAAACACAGTTCTGCAATATCTTTGTTTTATTTTAGAATATGAAGATGCGAACTATAACAGGAGATACATACTGTACGAAGTCTGGGAAGAAATTCTCTGGACAGTCGCTTTCAAAATTTCTTCTGATTGACTGCGAGCATGTCATCGCTGGTTCCTACAGGTAACGTGACTTATCACTTATATTCTCATACTAGGCTTGAACAAGTCCATTGGGGTCACCAGGGATGGCACCCAACCTCCCACACATCATGTTGGTGGCCATACACTTCAGTTACAATCGAACATCAAGCAACTGGTGTACCTCGTGTGGCTTTGACATCTAATTTATTGTTAATGCCCTTACTGCTGGCTCATTGGTCTGCTAGGTGGTCTCATTAACTAGTCACAAGGCACTGGAATAGACCAGAGCCAGTGACCCATGGGACTGTATCACACTTTATCTGTGTCTAAATATGTTCTGCAACAAAAACAGCAATGTAGGCAGCTGAGGGTCCCAAATGCATTGCCAGTGTCAACTCCATCAGATGTATTTCTAAAACAAAAATGTACATAACCATTTCACCCAATGAAAGTGGATGTACATTCGTTCTGTGCAAAAATATGTTAAGCTATTTCCTGTGCTGGTCAATTGTAATACTGAAATACTGCTACAGGGTAGGGCTGCGCAAAATCACGTCTGTGTAATATATACGTGATTTTGCATTTCCTAGTACGGGACATGCACGCGATACCCGCGCCTCCGTTGGCAACCTCACTGGGTGATTCCCTGCCATCACCCGTCGATCACCGAGTATCACTGACTGGGAGAGATCTTTTTGTAAACAATATAGATCTCTCCCTTGTCAGCTCCTGCACACACTGCTTTGTATTGCTCTGTATAGCAGTCTCACTATAAGTTGCTGATTGCCGCCATTACTGGTATTTAAAAAAAAATAATAATTCAGTATCTATACTGCCTTTTGTAAACACTATAACTTTCACGTAAACCAATTAATTTACACGTATTGGAATTTTTGTTAGCAAAGACATGTAGCAGAATATATTTTGGCGTACATTTATGACGAAATTTGATTTAAAAAAAAAAAAATTACTGGACATGTTTAATAGCAAAAAATAAAAAATATTGTTTTTTTTTTTTCTCAAAATTGTCGGTTTTGTATTTATAGCACAAACAGTAAACACACAGGTGATCAAATACCACCAAAATACCACCTTTTTTTCCCATTTGTGGGAAAAAATGGAAGTAAATTTAACTTTGGTGCAGCACTGCATGACCGCGCAATTGTCAGTTAAAGTAACGCAATGCCATATCGCAAAAAATGGCCAGGTCAGAAAGGGAGGGGGTAAATCCTCTGAAGGGCAAGTGGTTAAAGTGGAGTTCCAGCTGAAAAAAATAAAAGTCAGCAGCTACAAAAACTGTAGCTGCTGCCGGCCGTCTTCTCTCCCCGACGACGGCATCTTCAGTGTGTGCACCCGGCTGTGACAGCTTGCTGCTACACAGCTGGGTGTCCACTGCGCATGTGCGAGAAGCACTGTGTTTCCTGAATGATCCGTTGTCTTCTGGGACCTATCGTGTGTCCCAGAAGACTATGGGGAGGGAGGGGGGAGAAAATTTCTGCTTTTGATCACCTTAGGCAAGCGCAGCGGAAGTGGGAGCAAGTACCTGTCAAATTCGGGGGTACCCGCTCCCCAAAGGTGCCAATCCTTAATGGGGAGCGGGGAACAAAGGATTAAAGCGGAACTTCCCATTTTTGGTTGGAGCTCTGCTCTAAATTAAAACAGAAAACACTGCATTTAAGCCACTGGATAGGAATTTCCAATGATATTTAGCACCATCTAGTAGCAAAATGCAGTATTTTACATATTTAAATCAATGTAAAACCTTCACCAGCTCTGGGAATAGCCTAATACCATTTCATTATTGCCCCTTTCACAGAAAATGGATGTACATGTAGTTTCACTGAGCAAAATGTTAGACAAATTGTTTTCTAAATAGACACCTATGTGTTTAAATATGTCACGATTATGCAACTTATTCCCAACTATATTTTTCACTGCTTTGCTTTATTGATTGTGGTGTGATGCCCAATTTATTTAGTGTAGGTTTTTGTACACAGCATAGATTCAGAAAGAAATGTAAATCTTAACAAACAATAGATTTTTATATTCCGTCCTGGGTCTATGCAGCCTATCTGCAAACCTTGGTTTTCTTGCTGCACTTTAACAGAACAATATTTCAGCTGGTAGTGAAACCCGTTTTGAACAAAATGGGACCAAAATTTTATTTATAAAAATTAATTCTGATAATATTATTGACTATAAGAGAATTTCTTATACAAATGTAAATCTTGTAGTTTGTCAGATACTGCAGTAAAGCTGATCAGGGAAGTCAGGTTTTAGGAAATGATCTGACTGCGTGATGGAGGGTTGTGTAAAGTGGTTGTAAAGACTCCGTTTTTTTACTTTCATGCATTTTATGCATAAAGCTAAAAAAAAACTTTCTGGGTGCAGCTACCCCCCCATCCCTTTTATACCCACCTGAGCTCGATCTAGGGATGTGCACAACAACAAAGGCTGTATTGGCTCTCTTACTTGGCTTAGAGACAGCAGCAGGAGCCAATGGCATTCACAGCCATTGAGGAGGGATTGGGGCCGAGTGCACTTTGTGTGTATTTTGGACACACAGAGGCGGCTCAGGAGTGAGCATACACAAGTGCCCCCGAAGCAAGCAGCTTGCTCTAGGGGCACTTGGTGGGGTAAAGGGGCCAGGAGCACCAGCTGAGAAGTGGAGGATCGGGGCTGCTCTGTGTAAAACCACTGCACAGAGCAGGTAAGTATAGACATGTTTGGCATTTAACCCCTTGCCTACCGGGCACTGTCACCCCCTTCCTGCCCAGGTCAATTTTTAGCTTTCAGCACTGTTGCACTTTGAATGACAATTGCGCAGTCATGCAACACTGTACCCATATGAAATTTGTATCTTTTTTTCACACAAATAGCTTTCTTTGGTGTTATTGAATCGCCACTGGGGTTTTTATTTGTTGCACCATAAATGAAAATAAAAAGGGCGTTTGCGTTTAGAAGCGTTTTTTAAAGATGACATCAGGAGACCTTCCCAAATGCCCAGAATGCACTGAAAAACAGTAAAAAAATTAACTATTTCAGACATTTTGAGAGAAATAGAGCAGAAGCAGAGAGAGCAGTATGTGTTGAGATGACCTGTCTTTTCTGGTTGTATTCACTGTGGATCCCATCATGTGCATAATGCGGCAGGGTTCAGGGGCTGCTGAAAAAAACGCAGAAAAGCTCCTGAATGTCAGTTTATCAGCTGCAGTGTACTAGAGCCCTTAATCTGCACTCCAGCAGGCTCCCTCCCCAGTGCAGCCCCCCCCCTGTAGGGTGCTCACGGTTTCACACTTGCCCCTGCCACTTACAAAGCAGGGATAATAGCCAAGAGTGCTTGCTTACAGACCAGAACGCCAGGAAAGAGGACAGCAGGGCAAGTAATACTACCTCTCATTCTACCCACTAGACCACGGGTGTCATACTGGCAGCCCTCCAGCTGTTGCCAAACTACAAGTCCCATGAGGAATTGCAAGATTGTCAGTTACAAGCATGACTCCCAGAGACAGAGGCATGAAGGGACTTGTAGTTTCGCAACAGCTGGTGGGCCGCTAGTTTGACACCCCTGCCCTAAACATGGTGCGTACGTGTGTGTGTGTGTGGGGGGAGCACAACAAGGGTAGATTTTGACTAATTTCCGGAATTGGGTGTTAAATGTAAAATAATCTCCTTTCTGAGAGATGCAGCTTTGACAACTTACAGTTCTAGTTTTCTGTCTTGACACAGGTTTACCTATGATTACTTGTTTTATCACAATTGTGTATGTCACGGCTAATCGCAGGACATGATGTATTTTGTTAAAATGTTTAATCTGGATAAAAGCCTTTAATTTAAAAAAAATACCACTGTATATAGCACACTTAACTATTTTGTGTCTCTTTGTTTGCAAAATCTCTTGATTATTTCATTGTTAGAACGTTCAGATATTGCTTGTTCTAAGAAGGGATAGGAAGAAACTATGTACTACTGTGCATATACCAGCAATTCATAGTTAAAGTGGATCTAAAGGCAGAAAGTTTCTTTACCTTCATGCATTCTATTCATGAAAGTAAAAAAGCCTTCCGCATGCAGCTCCCCCTCTTTACGCCATGCTTTCTTTAACCACTTCCTGTCCGGACACTTTTACCCCCTTCCTGTCCAGGGCAATTTTCAGCTTTCAGCGCTATTGCACTTTGAATGACAATTGCGCGGTCATACAATACTGTACCCATATGAATTTTTTACCATTTTTTTGAGACAGATAAGGCTTTATTTTGGTGGTATTTATTCACCGCTGGGATTTTTTTTTTACTATGTAAATAAAAAAGTCCACAAATTTTGAAAAAAAGTGTTTTTTTAATAAAATTTTGCAAATAAATAATATTTAATCATAAATCTTGGCCACAATTTATTCCGTTATTTTTTTTTAGTAAAAACAAAAATCCAAATTAGTTTATAACCAAAAATTATAATTTTTAAACCTTTTTTTTTACATTTTTATTTTACTTTTTTATATTATTTTTTATTTATTTTTTTTACATACTGTCACCCTAGCAGTACAGTGTCACCATGGTGACACTGTACTACTTGTGAGGGGTGATGAAGATTTTTTTTTTTTTTTTTTTTTTTACACCCATATAGGATGTAAAAGCAATCATTTCTCTTTCTCTCTGTCTGCATTCTTGCAGTCATTGAGAAGTACTGAGTGAGCTGTGATTGGTCACAGCTTGTCACATGGTACAAGGCTGTTGTGAATAGCCTTGTACCATATGACCTCTGTGATCATTCACAGATTTCACACGTAGTAAGCAATGATGTCACAAGTGACATCTTGCTTACTACTTTGCATGTGAACACTGATTGGCCAATCAGTGATCACATGATCAGGACCTCGTACAAGGGTCCCGTCCCGACGATCACCGGATCGCGGTGCTGCGCGCTCCCAGGGAGCGCGCACAGCTAGAAAAGGCGGGTGCCTTTTATGAACGGCAACCCGCCCCTGGACTGCCACCGCCCTGCTGTTTATAAACAGCAGGCGGGCGGCAAGTGGTTAAAACAGAACTATAGGGGAAACTTTTTTTCCTCATTTTGGATAGACTAAGGGAGGGTTATAACCCTTGCTATTTTATTTTCACAATCTGTGTCCCATTGGGGAGGTTTGCCTTCACATCCTGTCCCATTGCCAAAACAGGAAGTGAGGGAACATCCCTGAAATTAGAGGAATTCCTTGGGGACTACCAGGTCACCAGAACTAGTGTCCCATTGGAAGATTTCTATGGTTTTTAAATGTGAGAAAAAACAGACAAACATTAATCCTCTGCGTTGTGTAAAAATCTATTTGATCTTGATTGCTCTGTTACTCCCTCGTTTAAGTCCACCTCTTATTTCCTGATAAGACAGACTGAACCGTAGGCATTTGCCAATGCTCAGTTTTGTGTGTATTGCTAGAGAGGTTTTTTATTTATTTTTTTGTTCTTGGGAATGTGCATGCAAACAGCACAGGGCCAATCAGCACTGGACAGACAATAGTCAGGGGTTTTGCATCCTCCTAGAGCAGAAAGAAAACTCCTCCTACAAGCTTTAACCAGTGTTTAGCTGACCACTGATAGAAGCCACAAGACCGCTCTAACTGTTGATGATAAAAGGTATTTAGCAGTTTATATTTACTAAAATAATAGCATTTCCATGTTGTGTGTACTGTGGTAGACCAGGTATAGTGAATGCCGGGTTTGGGGTTTAAAAAACTTTAATCATTTCAAACAGAGTGCAATGGCATCTTCAATACAAACAAATGAAGGTATACAATATATGGAAAATTCTTTTAGAATACAGGGTTGCTGATCATGACTTTGAGATTACACACCTTTTAAATTATATCCGAAGAATCCAGTATATATTTTATTGTATTATCCCGCCTAGATGTCTAGTCCAACTTTTTTTTTCTTCTTATTTTTCAGTTTCAGCTGGCTTTCTAGTCAAGTTCACAACAACATGGTGACCTACTTCAAGGGAAACATAGTGGAAGAGTTTGACAGAGAATTCCGTTGCCTGTATGCCTGTTCAATGGAAACGGACTATTTCTCAAGCCTAGAAAATGAGAACAGCAATCTTTTTGGACAAAGTCCTACAAGGTCCAGATGGATTCCCATGAAAACCCCTGCTATACCTCCACCAGTCATTGAAAATTCTGTCCACTCAGACAGCAACTCTAGTTCTGATAGTCAGTCAAGTGTAAAAACCCCACCGTTTTTTCGGAACCAGGCTGCCACAGTCATTCGTGAAGATAAGCCTGTCATGGCAAAGTTTGTGAATATAAACTCATATGATACACTAGCAGAAACAAGTAAACAGACAGAGGAAAAAGTCAATGATCAGAAACGACCATCAGAATCTCACTTTGAAACCGAATAACCTCATGGGGATGCAGAGAAATGCCTTATCAAAGTCTTCACCTGATCTGGTTGACAAGCCTTCTTCTCTTTTAAGGACCAAGTTTGAACAAATCCAGAATAAGTTTCTCAACCCACAGATTAAATCCTCCCCAAGAATAAAACATGAAGTGTCCCTAAATAAAGCCCCCAACTCCAATGGCACTTCCACAAACAAGAACACCCCACTGGCTGATATGAAAAGGGAAGAAACAGGCAAGAGAATGACCCTGGGACATAGTAAGCTAGCACTAATTACAGAGAGCAATAACAAAATGCTAGAAAATAAGGTCTACAGTCGCTTTCAGATCCGTCCATAGATTTCTGTCCATGGACAGAACTGGGAACTGATCATTATTACCTGCTTTATATTGCACTGGCATACTGTACAGTGATTTGCAGGGTCGGACTTTGCACAGCCAACATAGGCCATGGCCAAGGATAACAGTGCTTTCAGAGGTGGTACACAGTCACCATACATCGTGTTACTGTCATTAATTATGTCATTTGTGTCAAAGAAAAGCTGCTCCTGCCAGGGATACCAGTTTTTATTTTTTTTTCCAATTGAATGTTGGATGGGAGGTTACCAATAGGGACACCCACATAGTGAATTTTGGCTGTTTCCTTGGGAACTGGCCACAATGCATATAGCGTGTACCTAGCTTAAGAATAATTTTTATGATGTTCTCTGACATCCACTAAATGTGTGGCTACTGTGATACACTTTTTGATTGCTGCATGCTTCTCTGTGGGCCATCTGTTTGTCTCCAAATGTCATTTGTATGTATAACTAATTTTATTTTTGGGGTTTTGTGTTTTTTTTTTTTTTTTTTTTTGGGTGGAATAATGTAGTGTGTACTTGCATTTCAGTTTTGGCCCACATAATGAAACAATACACATAAATGGGATAAATGCACAAAATGTGCCAATGGCATCTTGGCATGTTTTGGGCCCAAGACATCATCATTGTCATAAAGCAGCAATCCAAAACACATACAAACCTCATGTTCTTCTACTTTGTGGAATTATTCCCCTACAAAATAATAGAGCACCAGTACTATCCTCATATATAATGGGGATCCTGGTGTGCTTCTCAACTTACTTCAGAAGTGCTAACCTAGTGGGTAACAATACTATCCATTGTTCCACCATGCCACCAGTGTAATATAACAGGACCAAGCATGGCACATGGACCAATAAAGACTATCTACTAGACAGTTGGCATTGATGCACAAAACCTAAACACATATGGCTGCATATAGCTCCACCACTCTGAGAATGATGGGGGACATTTTTATGTATATATATATATATATATATATATATATATATATATATATATATATATATCTTTTAAATGTACACAGGATATTATATTGTAAGCATGAATCACAAACATAATTGCATTTTACCGCTACTTTGCTCAGTGTATGGAAATGAGGATTGGTAAATTTCAACATGGTGTAACTACATCAGTATTGTGGATTGTACCAATGTGGAAAACACAGCCACGAACAGTCATATCCTGCTATACCTCCCAACATTTAGGGTGTGTAATTTATGCGAATAAGCTACAAGTCTGTTCATGTCAATCTGAGTCTATATTGAAAAATAAATGTGCTAGAAATAGCTTTATAAAAATGATTATTTCATTGTCATCAGTGGGTACACAAGACAACAGGGTTGTGTGTATATATATATATATATATATATATATATATATATATATATAAATTTTAATTTTTTTTCCCCATCTATTGTTTTTTTTTTTTTTTTTATTGAAGGTTTGAAAAGTAAATTGAAGCATTAGCTGACTATTATCAAGAAACCATTTGTTTTCCTATTTGCTGTAAATCCGTAAGCTCATCAATACATTTAGGAAAAACTATCTTCATATCTAGGGTATAGGTATTTATATGGATTATTTTGAGAATACAAATTCGGGTATTTGAATACACTGATTAAAAATGCAACCATGCCAATAAACTGATAAATTACCTAATGGAAAAACAATATCATGATATGATAAAATGGAATGTTAATACGAATGCATAATATAATGTATAACAATACAAAAAAACAACAATAGGGGGCTCTTCAGGTGTCAAATATGTTTGCAATAGCCTCCAAAAAATATTTTAAAAAATGTCAACTTTTATTGTAGGAAGAAAATATGTATAAAACAGCACTGGACCTATCTAGAGTCTGGTAATCACTGGAGGTGATCCATGATATTATGCTCTTCAAAGGGATGCCACGTATAATAGCCACGTATAAACATGTATAATAGCCCGAAGTGTGACATCCCTGCATACTGAGCGCGCCTCATATCTTGTCTAAACTTTTTTTAATAAACATTAATATCTAAAATACATACACCCATGTAAGGTATGGCGGTCTAATGCATACTGACACCCTTGAAACGCGTTCTTGTGCACCCTGTGAACTGCGAACTTCAATAAACACATATAGAAAGCCCAAAGTATGACGTCCCTGCATATCGAGCACGTCTCATATTTCATTTAAACTTTTATTATAAACTTTTATACCTCCATACCTGACATGGGAGTATGTATTTTAGATATTAAAGTTTATAATACAAGTTTAGACAGGATATGAGGCATGCTCGATATGCAGGAACATCACACTTCAGGCTATTATACATGTTTATTGAAGTTCACACGTTTTGGGGGAGAAGCCTCTTCATCAGGGCTAAAATACAAGAAAATATTACAACACATCATACACATTTTATACTTACAATAAAAGTGACAAAATTTGAAGGGCTTACAATAAAATTCAAAATGTTCACAAAAAAAAAATTCAATATGTATAATAAAATTATTTTAGTCTATTAATATATTACATTTTCATTTTATTATAAATATATTTATTTTTATTAAAAATATATTGAATTTATGAATATTTTCGAATTTTATTGTCAACACTTTTATTGTAAGTATAGAATGTTTATGACGTGCTTTAATATTTTATTGTATACTAGCCCTGATGAAGGGGGGTGCTTCTCCTCCGAAACGAACTTCAAAAACGTGTATAATAGCCTGAAGTGTGACGTACCTGCATACTGAGCGTGCCTCACATCTCATCTAAACTTTTTTGATAAGCGTTCATATCTAAAATACATACACTCCTGTAAGGTATGGAGGTCTAATGCATACTGACATCACAGATATTATGTCCATATTGTCTTTCCCCAACCACTACATTAGTTTAGGATTAAGTGTCCTTCAAAGCTGTAGCATTAGAAAAGTGGATGGTGGTAGAACTTTGAAGTGTTTCACAGATAGCCAAGGATCTTTTTCATCACAAATAATAAAATATATAATATACTTTTCATTTGAATATAAATACAATGAATGTTACACAATGAAACTTAACACACTGATGCGGGGACTGTGATGTGAAGGGGGCAGCCTTTGTTGTAATGGGACTGGAGTGTCTCTGGATTTTGTATACTTTTTTAAAGGGTGCTGTCAATAAAAAAAAAAAAAGAAAAAAAAAATACTGAGAAATGCTGACCTAATATACACACTTAGTTTTAAAAGTTTTAAGATTGTCTGTCTGTCTGTACATTTTTCTTGTTTATTTTCCATTATTTTTGTAGCATAAGGACAAAATAAAAATAAAATGCACTTTTGAAGAAATGCCTTTATTTCATATGCACTTAATGTTGCCATAGTTTGTAATGGAAACATCATTGTAAGGTCAAGACAAACTGCAAATATATTGGGGTGTCACCTGCACTGGGATGTATACACGTCTAAATCTGTTTGTGTTTCCACACTAGTGCCCTCTGATGGTACTCAAATATCATTACAATTAAAACCAGTAACCATGCTCCTATTCAGGGGCGGAGCTTTCAGTGGGTGACATCACTTCCAGTATTAACATAAAGAGTATTTGGAGTGGGGGTGGCTCCCCCTAGAGCACGGGTGTCCAACTGGCGGCCCTCCAGCTGTTGCCAAACTACAAGTCCCATGAGGCATTTGAAGACTGACAGTTACAAGCAAGACTCCCAAAGGCAGAGGCATGATGGGACTTGTAGTTTTGCTGCAGGGCCGCCAGTTTGACAGTCTTGCCCTAGAGGTCTGTGCTCAGTTTACTTAGTGCTGAGTGACGGGCACTTGAGTGTAAACTTTTTTTTTTAATAATTTTAATAAATGCAGTTTTACACAAGTGAATCCCATTCTGGTCTATATATGCAATCCTGTAGGAGTGGGGAGGAGGTGCATGGTCTTGAAGGGTTTGGCAGAGATGAGACACTGGTTATTAGTTGGCCAGCTTCTTAACAACCAATGACTCATCCCTGCTGTCAGAAGTGATGAGTCACTGGTTGTTAGGAAGCTGGTGGGTGCTGACCCCTTAACAACCATTAAAAATCACAGATAAATGCACACCAAAATGCATGCATATACGTTTTTGGTGCATCTCCATTGAAAGCTGTGGGGCACAAAATCAAGCTGCATTGCACCAAAGTAGCACAGGTACCTTCCCCAAATTTGCATGTGATGTGAATGGGTACCATTGAATGTGATTTCCTTTGTAATGTGATTTTGTGCAACTGAAATTGCATCTGAAACCGCACTAATGTGAACAAGGCCTAAAGATTATCATTTCAGTAAACTTCTAAAACAATGGAGTTTCATTTCAGCAACACTATAAATTCTGTATAGTAGTTCACTCTCTGCAGTAACTGATTCTTTACACTTAACCGCCTCCCACCCGCTATAAAAGGAAATGATGGGAGGTGGCTCTTTTGTTCTGGGAAGACGTCAAATGACATCCTCCTACTCTAAGTGCACGTGCGTGACCCTGGGACACAGGGGATCACCAATCCCAGTAAAGAGCCGATGACATGGGCTCTGTCATGTGATCAGCTGTGCCCAATCAGAGCTGATCATATGTAAACAAGGAAATGCCGGTTATCGGCAGTCCTCTCCTCCCGCTGACAACATGAGAGGAGAGTCGGTAAGTGGCATTCCTCTGAGGGGACATCTACACTGATAATCAGGGCACTGATGATCAGTGTAGCTCCATCAGTGCCACCTGTCAGTGTCCATCAATGCCACATACCAGTGCCCTTCAGTGTACATCAATGCCACATATCAGTGCCTACCAGTGTACATCAATGCCACATATCAGTGCCTACCAGTGCACATCAATGCCACATATCAGTGCCCATCAGAACTGCCTAAAATGAAAGTCTATGCTGTGACCATAGAACTCCTTTAAATTCGTATTTATGTTTTTCAGCTCCATCCATTGGTCATATTGTGGTATTTTCCTGATTCCTAAAAAAAAAAAAAAACAAAAAAAACCCGTAATAACATTCATATTTGCACAAAATAAATTATGTAGATGCAGTTTTTACAGAACAAATAGCTGAAATTTGTCTTATAAATATACCCCTTGGTTTACAGTGTACACATACTACAAACAGTATGGGTCATGACTTTTGCACACATACTGAGACATTCATATTTAAATATTTTTAATAAATAAAAACCTAATTGTTAAAGTGTCAATAAACCCACATCATTAAAAAAAATCAAGAAATGCTATATTACATGCTGTTCATATTCACTCAATCACTGTGAGATTTGTTTTGTGTATTTTGGTTGATCCTGTTGTTCTCTACCCCCCCCCCCCCCCCGCCCCTGTGCAAGTCCCAAATGCAGCTGTGGATTTTGCAGAACCATGGTGGCAGCTCTGCACATGCTCAGTTTTCAGTGAGTTTCTATGCTGAGCATTTCCTCCCTATCACATCTGAGTCACACGTGTGGATGTATACACAGTGGTAAATGACAGCCCACTCCCTCCCTGTCTCCTCCTCCATGCTCACTAACCAGCTAAACACTATGAAGGCGGGATATTACAGCTTGATTGACAGAGGCTTCATCTCCCTGTTATTCAAGACATAGGCTGGGGGAGCAGGGGCGGACTGACAACTCATGGGGCCCCCGGGCACTAGGGGATCATGGGGCCCCTGTATCCTTGCCCAAACTCAAAAAAGCCTATGAAAAAGGTACCAGGGGCATCTCATGGGGCCCCCTACTGACCCCGGGCCCTCGGGCAGTGCCCGAGTTTCCAAATGGTCAGTCCGCCCCTGTGGGGGAGCATGGCACAGCCTGTGATTGGCAGAAATCCACCCACACCATGGTATTGCCAAAAATAATAAAGATTTGATTTTAAATATAGATTTGTATGACAATTTTTAAAACAATTTGATACTAATTATTTATTTTTACTTTGTATTCCAAAGGCTGTGTTTTTTTTTTTTTTTTTTTTGAACATGTGACCAGCAGCAGAAGACTAGAAGCTCCTCCTGCTTAGGGCATTTGTCACAACCCATTTTTATGTGCAATTCAGCACAGAAGTGGGGGGTTCTATTCCTACCACTATTCTATGGTTTCATTGATATTTATGATATGGTATTTCATATGTTTTTATTAATTTTGTGATTTATAGTCACATATAAGTACGCCTTAGGTATTGCATTTTGGGGGGTTCCAGTATATATAAATTCATGTGGATTTTATTGTGATGTCATTTTGTATTCATATGTTCTTTCTGTGATGTTTTATTTGTAAGCGCAGCACCACATTATTATATCCTCCTGCTTTGTTTCCCTGCAGACAGGCTGGGAAAGAGCTGGGTCATGTGACAGCTGTATGTTGATTAGGAAAAAGGTACTTTGATTTTTTTTTTTTTAATTAAAATAATTACAGTGTCATCATCCATGTACAAAATAGAAGGAATAATCTGAATTAAACAGAGTGTGTTTAGTATCACTTTAACTGCTAGGAGTACGATTGCAATTCAGCTCTCCTGCACTGGATCATGTACCTAGTACGTGATCCGCCTCTTCAGGGTAAGGAGCGTGCGCTGCCCTGGCTGTGCTATGGTTGGACTAAGCACAAGCTGATCAGAAGGTCCTGGCCAATGATTGATGGCCAGGACCCGCTGATTGGCGAAACAGTGCATAGGATAGACCTCTGTGAATGTAAATCTGAGACATTTCCTTTCCCCCCCGCAAAGTAGGGAATAAAAACCGTCTCATACCTTTTTAGGCCTGGTTCACACCAATTCAGTTTTCTTTTGATCGGTTTTTGCAATGATTTTGCTTTGCATTTTTACACGTTTTTGCTGCATTTTGCCTTTTTTTTTTTTAATTTTGTTAAAGGCAAAATGTATTAGTTGCTGGGCAGAAAAGAAGCGCAAAACACACCAAAAACGTGTCAAGGCACTACACGTGTTTCAGCAGCAATTGTACTGTAGCAAAAATGCTACTTTTTGCGTTTAAAAAAAAAAGTCCCTGACCCTTTCCAAAAAAATGCAGCAGCTCAGAAATGCATAGATGGGGACTTGTTCCATAGGAAACCATGTTAAATGGACTGTAGTGTGTTTCTCCATAAAAAAAACTAATTTGTGTGCACTGGTAGGCACATAGTTAAACCTTTGATCGCCACTAGATTAACCCCTTCCCAGCCAGTGTCATTGGTATAGTGTCAGTGTATATTATTAGCACTTCTCACTGTATTCGGCTCCATGCACACTGGGTGTGTTTAATAATGCTGGTAGCGTTAGGTGTTTAAAGTCACGTTTAAGACACAAGTTTTTCAACTTTTTTTATTTGCACAAAGTCCAAAAACGCAGGTTTGCCGCATTTTATTGCGTTTTTCAGCGTTAGAGATTTTACAGGTAAAAAACTCCTCTGAAAATCCACCCATGCGATCCAATTCTAGTGAAGACCCAAAAAAGGGTCCTGCACCTTTTTGGTGCGGATGCGGTGCGATTTGAGCCATACATAATGTATGGCTCAAAGCGCACCGCACACAATTCTTATATGATTTGCACAGGAATTCGATTTCCTGTGCGAATCACATGTGATATACGGAGCCATATGAGTGAACCTAGCCTTAAACTAACACAGTGCGGTATAGCAAAAAATGGCCTGGTCATGAAGGGGGTAAAATCTTCCTGAGGGCAAGTGGTTAACTAACCTCCAGCAGGTATTACCCCCTTCCTCCTGACCAGGCCAATTTTTGCTATTCAGCACTGCACTATTTTACCTGGTATTTGCACGGTCATGAAACTCTGTACCCACATGAAATGTATATCATTTTTTCACACAATGATGGTATTTGATCACCACTGGGTTTTTTATTTTTTGCTATATAAATGAAAAAGACAGAAAATTAACGAAAAAAAAATTCAACTCTCTGTTCTAAAACATTTCCAATAAAATCAAATTTCTTCATAAATTTAGGCCAAAATGTATTCTGCTATGTGTCTTTGGTACAAAAAAAAGTGTAATTGGTTTTGTGAAAGTTATAGTGTCTATGTATTTGAAAATTGATCATTCCTGATGTACTGATGGCCTATCTTATTTCTTGAGGCCGTTAAAATGTCAGGACAGTAGTAATACCCCCTCCAAATCGATTGCTGTTACAGTGGTCACTGTAACAGCAATGTTTTAACTGTCATGAATGGTTTACATTCACAACAGCTGTGATTTATTTTGTGCTGTGATTGGTCCAGGTACCATGTGATAGCTGTGGCGCGCTGTACGCCCTTGACTGGATGACACGTCATTACAGTGGTTTGGATACATGGTAGATGGAGTAATCCCCCACCCCCAGCCAGGACAATGTCTTCTGACAGCTGCACCCACCCCTGACAGAATATGGTGATCAGCTGCTGTAGCTGACTGGCTGAAGCTGCTGATCAAGAAAACATTTCCAGCAAGTCCCTACAAAAGAAGTCAAATGACTTTTATTAGGTAGGGATGGTCACACACTTATCATGATTTGTCCAATCCCTGGTGAAGCTGCCAAATTTTAATCAGTGTATGGTCAGCTTTACAGCTGATCTTTTCACTGATGATTCAGGTGCTATCTGCATCTTGAGGCCCTATTTTCACTTGCAGTTATGGCTATAGTGCAAATTATAGCTGCAAGAAGCAGTGGCGCCCTGTGGCCAGCTTGAC